TTAAAAATGTACATTTTTTTTGTTGTATTGATTTGTACAATATTTCAATATATTTGATTATTTTTAGTATATTACAATTAGGCCACTTGTTAAAAAAAATTGACTTGCATGCAAAAAACTGAAATGGTTAATTTTTTTTTTTTTTTTTTTTAAGCAATAAAGTAATGGGTTGTAATTTTGCTTCTTTTTAGCCATAATGTTATTGCACATTTAAGAGACAATAGTTTTTATCTAAACTAGGGAACCAAAATATTATTACATGTTTTATTCCTATGTTCTGAAACTTAGCTTGCAGTATCTGAGATATGCTTATATTCTGAAGAGTATATTGAACAAGTCTTCAGCTCTTTGATGTATAAATTTACATCATACCAAAGTTTCACTAAAAAAAAAAATTCTTATTTCTGTTGAATTTTTTTTATTTTTTTATTTATCAAGAGATTTTTTGATAGAAGTGTTGTAACTGTTTTATCAATAGACTTACTAATAGAAGTGTTGTAACTGTTTTTTTTTTAATCACTTTCTGACCTTGAAATTTTCACTCTATATTTCATACTAAAAAGAAAAGACAAATTGATGCAAATTGGCATAATTCCTACAATTCTATTATTTTATTAACAAGAATTTCTTATATGCATATTCATTTATCTAACAATAAGCACAAAAGATATTTGGCACTGCATATAAACTCAAGATATACATTTTCACCAATGCTTTTTTGCACAAACACTTTGAAGCTATAGAGAAATAAAATTTAGCTACGGGTTGTTTCCCTTGAACTTTTCAAACACCTTTTTTTTTTTTTTTTCCCCCCTTCATACTCAAATGCTTATATTGTCAGATCCTATTTCTGTTTCCTTGTGCATCACTAGAAATTCTTCATCTTCCTTCTTTTAAAACGTGAGCATATTTGCCCACTTTCATTTATTACTATAAAAAGATTTTTTTTATTGAAATGATTTGCCTGTTACTAATTTTTTTTTCTGTGTAACTCTCTTATGGATGAGGAGCATATCGTCTAAACCATCGCCAAGTCTACCAAACTTCTTCCACCGAATTTCAGAATTTTCAGTTGAACTCATCAAAGTAAATTTTTAAGAATTATTCTTAGAATGCTTGGTCAAATGATATGTATATATATTTTTTTTAATTTAAAGAAAATAAAAGGTTTTTTTTTCTGTTATATATCTATAACGCACAAATTACATTATTGTCAGTAAAAACAATGATATATATATTCCACCCCCCTCTTTTTTTTTTCAACCCAAATTTTTTCCTCATTCTTAGTAACTATTTTCTTGTTGTCTGCTGTGACATGAGAAACCTGTTCACTGGCTATTTATCCTTCAATCATTTCTGAAGTTTACATTATTGTGTTGTCAGAAGATTAACCTCTCCTTTTTGTTATCATGGTACTTACCTTCCTCTCTTTCACAGAGCAACTTCTCTCACTCTCTTTCTCCTTCTCTTTCTGTTCTCTTTTTTTTTTTTTTTTTTTTTTTTTTTTTTTTAATGAAAAAAAAACTCTATTCACTTATATTTAAATCATATAAACCCTGTTTTTGTATTGAGGCAAATCTCTTTAGAGGGTCAGTTTCTTTTTGCAAACCTCTTTACCTAATCTGGGCTCTTTGCTTTTTGATTAACTTCATAGTAGCAGTGTTATGTTTTTTTGTATGTATTATTGCATTCAGAGCTGATGCAAGGGATTTGTGCCCTCCTCTCTCAATTTATGATATAGTGCCCACCACTCTACTGCATCTTAATTTTCATAAAGTAATATTCATATAAAATACATATTTTATTGTAACCTAATTATATACAATAATGGATCATTATTTACATTATTCAGACTATTGTCCTCATCTTTGTCACCATATTTATTACAACGTTTTGGCCGTTGTATGCTCTGGCCTTCTTCAGGTGGTTGGAATGTCGAACTGTCTACATTTCTGAGATGAGGTATTATGTACATTATTTACATTATTTGGACTATTGTCCTCATCTTTGTCGCTATATTTATTACAATGTTTCGGCTGTTGTACACTCCGGCCTTCTTCAGGTGAGGTATAAATATGGCAAAAAAGATGACAATAGTGTGAATAATATAAATAATGTATATAATACTTCATCTCTGAAATATAGACAGTTTGACATTCCAACCACCTGAAGAAGGCCAGAGCGTATAACAGCCGAAACTTTGTAATAAATATGGCGACAAAAATGAGGATAATAGTCTGAATAACGTAAATAATGTACATAATACCTCATCTCAGAAATATAGACAGATAATAATGGATCATATGCAATATAGGTGAAATATAAAAAGTTTTTTTTTTTTTTTTCATTTGTGCTAAAGAACTGTATTTCTAGAGCTGATATTTCTCACCCAAAATAATTTGCCTCATTAAAAATAGAGATGTTATCATTTAATGACATCCTGATAATGTATAAAACCTTGCAGAAAACATTGATATATTTTTTAAACATTTCACCCCAATCAAGGCGATAATGGCACTAGAATGCAGTTGGGTGGGGTTACAGGGAGTGAAATTGAAAGAGAATGAGAAAAATTGAGGAAAAGACAAAAAAAAAAAAATATGGGGTTCAAAAAACTCAGAAGATGGCGATTGACACTGGATTAAAACTTTTGAATATTGTAGTGATCAGGGAAGCAAGAAATCAAAAGGGAGTTCCAGAGGTGGGAAGTGTGAGAAAAGAAATTATTACAATAGAAGTGGCAGTTGTATCAAATTAGTTCAACAATAAAATGGTGAGACTTTTTTCTAAAAAGGAATTCTAATCAACATTTTTCAATTTTATGTCTCTTTATATATCTGCTGAGAGATTCATGCATCTATGCCATTATGTTAAGTTACACACACACACACACACACAAAATTATAATATATCACACATGTAGTGCTGGTGTTAATGAAATAGCGCTAGATGTAATATATCAGCTATTAAGTATATGTTAATAAAGATACACATCCCTCACTACTAGCACAACTGAGTTTCATGCATAATGCAATCTTCAGTCAGTGTGTGTATATATATATATATATATATATATATATATATATATATATATATATATATATAGTTTTAAGGTGTGCTATGTTTATAGGATAAAGTGCTCAATATCAGAGATAGTGTATGTAAATATAAAAGTGAACATTGAAGTCAACACTCAGAGGCGACAGACTGTTTCATGCTAGGCATAATCGTCAGGCCGCCTGATGATTGGCGCCACTGTGTGTTGACTTCAATGTTCACTTTTATATATATATATATATATATATATATATATATATATACACACAATGGGAATTATGTTTCAACACTAAATGTGTCTCCTTAGGCAATGGTAAACTGGTGGCGAGTGAACAATTATTTTAATTTCAAAAGCAGAACACTTCCTTTTTTAAAAAAATATATATATATATATATATATATATATATATATATATATATATATATATATATATATATATATACATTACATGAATCATTCATACAAAAAGTAGATTAGTAAAGTTAATGATATAAATAACAAAAAACATGTTTGCTAACAATTTTAAAGTTGCATTAACCTATGAATCATTCGATGAATGTTATGATCCTTGTTTTTAATAACTTCAAGTTGTATAAGGTCTTTTTTTTAATCTGCTAGTACTTTCAAATGTACATTCAGCCATCCTCAGGCATGGAAATTATTTTGTTTTTAGTAGATCCAGGTAATAGTGGACACGAAAATTTAAATGCAAATCGAAATATGTAAATATTAGTAAAAAATGCACTCTCTTAAATTTTCAAAAAAATTTAACCTTAGTGTTGTGACTGAACACTCCATAAGTTCTTATTCATTAACAATAACACATTTCTAAAAAAAACATTTCAACTTGTATTTAATTTTTTTGTATCCGCTATTACCTGGATCTACTAAAACAAAATAATTTCCATGCCTGAGGACGGCTGAATGTACAGACGAAAGTACTAGCAGATTAAAAAAAAGACCTTATACAACTTGAAGTTATTAAAAATAAGGATCATAACATTCATCGAGTGATTCGTAGGTTAATGCAACTTTAAAATTGTTCGTGAAGATGTTTTTCGCCATTTATGTCATTAACTTTACTAATCTACTTTTTGTATGAATGATTCATGTAATATAAATTGAACTGCACCACATATTTGATATATATATATATATATATATATATATATATATATATATATATATGAATCCAGGCACACATAGGCTGCACATAGTGTGTGTTAGGATATTAAATTTTTCTGAGTGCAAGAATCAACTTGAATTTACCATTAATTTGAACATACCATTAAGAAAGTTGTAATAAAGTGGTGTGCTAATTAAGTCCCATATTATTCACTCCAATAGCTTGTTACTCTTGGCCAGTTTGTGGTGAGAGAGAGACTGCCCTAAATCATCTCTCAGGGATGGTCATTTACATATTAATCTGTCCAATATTCTTTTTCTCATTCTTGTAATACTGGGTTCAGGTGTTGGGTCACATAACTATGTATTCAGTGGCCAGGAGTAACTATAGGTCAACTCTGTATCTGGCTTCTTAGATGATAAAGACTTTCAGAATTTTATCCATAGTTGCAATCTCATTTTTAAATTCAGCATTTGTACAGACCTTTTTCTTTTCATTATTTTAAATTAAAGAACAGTAACTATTACTACATCCTCACTCTGAATGCATTGATCTTCCTCTCTCTCTCTCTCTCTCTGATATATATTATTAGTATAACTTTGGTTAATAACCAACAAAAGTTCCCTAAGGATTTTAAAAATTTATTTTCTATATTTCAAACTATTTTCCTGGTTTCTGGCAAATAATTAGAAATAAATTGCCCTGTGTGTGTTAGAAACCAGGAAATGGTCCAAAATATAGAAATTTTTTTTTTAAAAAAACAAAATCTTTTGTTGGTCTTTAACTAAACTTAATAATAAACTTGTATAAATAAAGAATTAGTTCCCAAATAAATAAATCCTGTTTGTGTGTGTCTGTCTCTCTCTCTCTCCATCTGTCTGTCTCTCTCTCTCTCCATCTGTCTGTCTCTCTCTCTCTCCATCTGTCTGTCTCTCTCTCTCTCCGTCTGTCTGTCTCTCTCTTCTCCCGTCTGTCTGTCTCTCTCTCTTTCTCTGTCTGTCTCTCTCTCTCTCCATCCGTCTGTCTCTCTCTCTCCCCTGTCCGTCTATCTCTCTCTTTCTCCGTCTGTCTGTCTCTCTCTCCGTCTATCTCTCTCCCCCCTCCGTCTATCTCTCTCTCTCTCCCCCCTCCGTCTATCTCTCTCTCTCCCCCTCCGTCCGTCTCTCTCTCTTCCCCCTCCGTCTATCTCTCTCTCCCCCCCCCGTCTCTGTATCTCTCTCCCCCCTCCGTCTGTATGTCTCCCCCCGTCTGTATGTCTCCCCCCCCCGTCTGTATGTCTCTCTTCCCCGTCTCTCTCTCTACGTCTGTCTGTATCTCTCTCTCTCTCTCACGCGCTCTCTCTCTTTATATATATATATGTATATCCTTGTCTTTGTATACATAATAGAACAAGGGTTCAGAGTTGTGTGTAGCAGTGTTGATAGATTGAATGAAATTTCCTGCATTTAAAAGCCCACCACTACTAAATTTAAGTCTAAATTCAAAATTTAGTATGGCGGGGCTTTCAAATGCACAAACCCAGTCTGGAAACTCTGCTGTGTGTATGTATATATGTATGAATATGTTTAACAGTCAATTAAATAGTTTTTTATTTCTTCTTGTAGAATTAGTCTATATTTTGTATAGATTGAAATTGAATGTCAAAATGTAAAACAAACCTGGTTACCCAACATTGTTCTGGAAAACAATATTTACATTATTCAGACTATTGTCCTCATCTTTGTCGCCATATTTATTACGACGTTTCAGCCGTTATATGCTCCGGCCTTCTTCATGTGGTTGGAATGTCGAACTGAACCCTTTATTTATTTTGAGCGAAATAAAGGGTTCAGTTCGACATTCCAACTACCAGAAGAAGGCTGGAGTATACAAGAGCCGAAACGTTGTAATATGGCAACAAAGATGAGGACAATAGTCCAAATAATGTAAATAGTGTACATAATACCTCATCTCAGAAATATAGACAGATACTAAAGAACTTTGCAGTATCAGCAGTAACAGTCACTGTTTACAAATTCACACTTTCTCTCTGGAGTGCTTGACCAAAATTTTTTTTTTGGGGGGGATAGATATACATGTGAAAAAAAGAAATGATTTCTTTATTTAGCATAAGACTAATTTTTATCCCAAGTATTTCTGGCATAAAGTTTTGAGTTTCTAAATTCTATGACATGACAGTTTTTATGTTTAATGAAGAACAACAAAAATTATTCAGTGTAAAGTCTATGAAAAGAGCTCTTGAATTTTTCACCAAATTTTGTTCATTTGCATCCATATCCGTGGGTATTATTTGAGTTTAACTTTTTTAAAGGTGAGTGGATTTTTTGTGAACAAACTGCGCAATATTAAGTTAGGGTAACAATAATTAAATAGTTAATAAATAAATAAATAAATAAATAAGCTAAAAATACTTATCTTTTCAACAACTTACACGGATACACTGCTCATCAAGATTGGAAATCTATTAAATTCATTAAGATATATTTATATACATTACATAAAAATGCTAATTATTGATGGTATTATTAAAGTATCATTTTTTATCTTTGTATTTCCTTTCGATATTAAGAAGCTTCTTAGATGTTCTGTATCTCTTTAAATGTGTATATTATATTATTATTAATAGTATAAACATTTTTTTTAATTAGATTTCTGCAAAGTCTATATTTTTAAACAATCCATTTTCATTTTAGCATATCTTCAAAATGTGTAGAATGCTGCCAGTTCATTGTAAAGCCAGACTATTATCTATAATTTAAAATTATTTTCAATCTGTCACAGCTGGTAATCTGGTCATCTGTTACAAGAGTTTTTTTTTTTTTTTTTTTTTTTTTTAATTTTGTGACATAATTTGGGGATTAATTGCACTCACGCAATTAAAACTTGAATTTATCAAAATCCTATTTGATGAAGAGATGGTAGTTAAAAAAATAAATCCATCCTTTAATTTTTATATATATGTTGAGGGTGAAAATATTTCTGGAGGGTAGGTTGTGAGATTTTAGATGTGACGTTATTAAACATTGTGGGCAATTATTTTTTCTACCTCCTCCCTATGTATACTTTTAAAATCATAGTATGCTATTTAGGATAAATTTTTTGTAATATTTTTTATTTAAATTGTGTTCAGTTGAATTGATTTTATTTTATTTTATTTTTTTTTTGTTTAGTAATAATTATAAATATTTTTTTTGTAGAATTTCAAGCTTTTTCTTTTAACTCTTTGAGCCCTGCGTTCCTGAACAATTTTAACCCTTCTGCTTGAGCTCCTGAGTCAAAATTTTCAAATACTTGGTATGTAGTGTTTCATGGTAGATATAAAATAGTTACAAGTGTTTACCCACTGTTCAACTGGTGGCTGGGCATTATGTCATTTTTCCCTATCACCAGTAAATCAGTGTTCAAGACTCACAGGGTTAATATGAAAATATTTCAGGTTTTTTTTTTTTGTACTGTTAGCTTACAAAAATTGTGAAAAATATGAAAATATTCCAAGTTGTTAATTATCAACCAAATATTTATACCTTCTACCTTTTGAAGTGAAAAACAAAATTAATACAAAGGTTACTTGTGTCTAAAACAATTGCTATGGTGGGATTTGAGATCTGCTCCCACCTATTTTTACAATAATATTTTGGGGGTGACAAGATGATTGTAAGGAATAAATATTGTATAGACAGAAACTGTAAACAACAATCTCATGTATTCTAGAAAAAAGTTTTAAATGTAATGTTGAAGTAAATAACAACTTTGTGCCAAAGTAATTTTTCTTTCTGATAAAAATTTGAAAGAAGCAGACAGTTTGCTACATTTAATTTGTAGTTACATATTGATGAATTTAGTGGATCCCAAATTTTAATTTGCAAAATGGCTGCAAACCTTGCTACATCCACTTTTTAGAAATTCCTATATTGATAATTAGAATCCTAATAAAAGATTAGACTTTGAAATCCAAGTTGTTTGGATTGTGATGTGGGGGGGTATGGGGGTGTTAAAGAATTCTTTTCTTTTCAATCATTCAGTCCTTAAAAGCATCCTATCTTCCCACACATACACAAACACAAAAATGATCCCTTTGCCACAGTTCACAAGGACATGTATGTAACATTTAGATTGATGGGAATTTTTCATGCCCAATGTTGTTACCATCCCCCAACTTTGGTATAAAGAAAAGTATCGGTGTTTGTAACTAGTAGTTTTGAAAAGAACATTAAAATACACGCACACAGATTTTACTAAATTGTTAGATGTAAAGATGTCTGTTGTTTGGGGTTTTTTGTGTTCTAACAAATTTAGTTATGTAGCAACTCCTAGTTTTTTTTTTTTTTAATGAAGTTTGTCTCCCATCTTATTCATTTCTCTTTCTCTTATTGCAATAAAAATCTCTGTTATAAAGCTATTACAAATGTAAAACAATCCATTTTGAATTGAAGGGAAAGTTTTAAAAGCTTCAATTAATCGTAATTATGTATGTTGATATTATCCAAAAAGATTGTTTGCTTCAATTTCTTTCCAAAATCTGTTAGGCTGGCTTTTTTTTTTCTTTGGGTATAGACATCAGTTCTTCTGCTGGCCACACTATTGACATTATGACTGCCTCTGATGTCCTATGCTACAAGGGATTCTTTCACGTACTTGTAAAATACAAAATACTTGAAATATCTCTGGTGTTATATACTGGACTTAGGTTTTTTGTTTTTTTTTGTTTTCTTTGATTTTGGTACTATCATAACTGCCGACAACTATAACCATTTTTTTTATTCAAACCTAAAACCTGATTTTCTTGTAATTATTTTCCCCCTCTTCTCCATTTTTGTATCTGTGCACTCCAGGGCGTGTAATTTTTTAATTATTTATTTTTTTGGGTGGGGGGGGAGGTAATTTTCTGTTACTTTTATTTATTTATTTTTTTTTTTTTTTACTTTTTATTGTTTAAACATGAAAATCATTTTTTGAATCAACATTAATAAAATAAATCATATCATGATCATCTTATTTCATGTTAATAGATAGTTGTGAAAAAAAATATAGTTTTCATGATATTTGATTTGTATATTTGGTTTGTATTTTTGTAACTTGTGTTTCCTCCCATTCTTTATTTGTTGGAAAACAAAAAAGTTTTCTTTTTTAATATTTTTTTTTGTTTTTAATCTTTCTGTCCCAGTGACATCATCCCTAAATACGGAGGCTGCTGCTTTCACTCATTTTAATTTTTTTTCGTTTATTTTTCGTCCTTATAGACTGTACATATCTTTCAGAAAAATAATGTTTACTGACCAGTGTGTTAAGAGGTGTTTATAATTTCCAATAACATCTTCATGCTTTGAAATGTGGCAAAAAAAAAAATGAAGTTACAATTACATGGAACAAAATTAAAATTTATAATGTAACAATCTCCCCCTCCCCTTCTTCTTTGGGTTAGAGGAAGGTGTACAGTTTAAAATGTGAATTGTTACTAAACAATACAATACACTTATTGCTTCAAGTACAAAAATGAAAAAAAAAAAAAAGCAATTGTATAATAAGGGAGACAACTTTTGGAGTAAATTTTACCAACTCATCTTTTGTGAAAGCAAAACTTGAAGCTCTCTACCCAAGAGTTTGGATATTATTTGCTTTACATTGGGACATTATTATTATTTTTATTTTTTTTTTTTTTTTAAACAATCTCAGGAAACTAAAGTAAAATTAAACCGAATGTTCTTTGCTGGATATGTCGTTTCTGGCACCAGACTTACTAATTTCACCCATAATCACCTGAATTGATATGTGAAGCTGATGATTTCCATGTTAAATATGTATTTTTAAACTATGATAAAGCTTGATTGTGGATGTTCAGAAAAATTACAACTTTTTTTTTTTTTTTGCGTATTTGAAAAAGCTAAATTTAGATGTTTTTATTTCTTTTTTTCCTTTTTTCTTTTTCTTTCTTTTTTTCTTTTTTTAGATTATCTAAAAAACAAAAACAAAATGACTAGATCATTGAAACTCTTTATATATTGTGAGTTTTAAAAGTTTTTAAAAGTGGGTTTACCACTTACCAAAAAGGTTTTTCATCTCTATTGGCTCTGATGATTAACTACATATTAAATAAAACAGTATATGAATCATGTCATGTCTTTTTTTTTTCTCACTTTAATTGGCCCTGAGTTTTTTTGTTTTTGTACATAATACATAGTTTAGGGCAAGGATTAAAAATATATTAAAATATACTGTAAATATTGTTAAAATATTAATAAGGGCAAGTAATAATGATGATAAATAAAATCATGTATGAATCATGTTTTTTTTGGTTTTTTTCCTCATTTTACTTGGCCCTGACCTTTTTTTTTTTACTAACTAACCTTTACAGTCTAAGGTAAGAAATATTTGAGATGCAATTAT